AAGTCACCAATTTAGTGCTACTTGGTCCCAATGTAATTTTCTATTGGGAACCTACTAGCACGAAGCTGCTAACTGGTTAGCAAGATGCCTCCGAGATACTGATCACAATCAAACTTGCTTGCAAACCTTCCACCACAACAATGGCAGACAACAATGGCCATTGATAATCGACCAATAAAATTCATTTTATTCACTTGTGTAAAGTCAGGAAAACACTAGTTGTAACTGTAGGGGTGCTGCAGGAACGGGACATGCAGCAGCAAGTGGAATATTCTTCTATGAGAAGGGGCATGGTTAGATTTGTTAAATTAGGCACTGTCTATACCAGTGGAATTAATGCTGGGTATATGGTGGTCTTTCATATGCCTTTACACTAAGTAGAACAATGTGATAGCGTAATATGTACCTTCATCTTTTTGTGTGCCCTTAACTTGCACTTGAAATGTAGCTATTACCTGGTTTAAAAACGGTGACCACAGTATGTAATCATTCTGGTAACCCAATGATCAATATAATCACAACTGAACACTGGTTAATTGACAAAGATTCCCCAACAAAAGTCTTTTGAACCTTAAAGTAAATAAATACCTCTCTGCATAACATCACCTGACTCTACTGTCTATTAGAATGGGTGTTAGATTAGCTGGAAGCTCTGTTTAAATTAGATTCTATCATAGTTAAGAGGAAGACATGAATCACTGTTGGGACAACAACAGATCAACTGATGGTCAAAAAGGCAGTCTTGGATGGTTATTCTACTGCAGATATACTGCCTGGCCAAAAAAAAGGTTGCCACCTGGATTCAACTAAGCAAATAGGTACGAGCCTTCTTTTGGATAATTACTGCATGGGCGATTATCTTTCAGCTGGCAACAAGTTATTTAACCCTAACTGGTGCAATGACTTGCTTCTCATTTCCTAAACAACCATGTCGAAAGACACATCCCATGGTCGTGGAAAAGATGTCAGTCTGTGTGAGAAGGGTCAAATCATTGGCATGCATCAAGCAGAGAAAACATCTAAAGAGATTGCAGAAACTACTAAAATTGGGTTAAGAACTGTTCAACGCATTATTAAAAACTGGAAGGATAGTGGGGACCCATCATCTTCAAGGAAGAAATGTGGCCGGTAAAATATCCTGAATGATCGTTATCGGCGATCACTTAAACGTGTGGTGAGATCAAAGCGAAGAAAAACAACAGTAGAACTCAGGGCTATTTTTAATACTGAAAGTAGGAGCATTTCCACACGCACAATGCGAAGGGAACTCAAGGGATTGGGACTGAACAGCTGTTTAGTTGTAAGAAAACCACTAATCAGTGAGGCTAACCGGAAAAAAAGGCTTCAATTTGCTAGGAGCATAAATATTTGACTGTGGAGCAATGGAAGAAAGTCATGTGGTCTGATGAGTCCAGATTTACCCTGTTCCAGAGTGATGGGCGAATCAGGGTAAGAAGAGAGGCAGGTGAAGTGATGCACCCACCATGCCTAGTGCCTATTGTACAAGCCTGTGAGAGCAGTGTTATGATCTGGGGTTGCTGCAGTTGGTCAGGTCTAGGTTCAGCAACAGTATGTGCTCAAAGAATGAGGTCAACTGACTACCTGAATATACTGAATAGACCAGGTTATTCCATCATCAATGGACTTTTTCTTCCCCGATGGCACTGGCATATTCCCAAATGACAATGCCAGGATTCATTGGGCTCAATTTGTGAAAGACTGGTTCAGGGAGCATGACGCATCATTTTCACACATGGATTGGCCACCACAGAGTTCAGACCTCAACCCCATTGAGAATCTTTGGGATGTGCTAGAGAGGGCTTTGGGCAGCGGTCAGACTCTACCATCAATGCAAGATCTTGGTGAAAAATTAATGCAACACTGGATGGACATACATTTTTTGACATTGCAGAAGCTTATTGAAACTGCCACAGCGAATGCGTGCCGTAATCAAAGCTAAAGGCGGTCCAACAAAGTATTAGAGTGAGTAACCTTTTTTTTTGGTGGCGACTTTTTTTTTTTTTGTCCAGGCAGTGTGTAAGACCATCTACTAATGAAGTCCATGAGAAAACATCTAGCAAAACAATTTTAGCTGTGTTCAAAATAATATTTGCATTTATCATGGTCTGACCTGATGGCTAGAGAATATATGGCAGTAATTTAGAGCCCTTGTCATTTCAAAGCATGCTGAAGATTATGTTTAATTTTATCATATTGACAGATGGTTAGAAAGTTTAAGCAGATAGCATCCGGCCATTGATTTTACAGAATTTTTCTCCTTCTAGATGTGTATGTATTGAGGACTTGAGCATTGTATCATTGACTTTGCAGCAATCTTTTGTACTGAGCTTAAAACACGAAAGATCTCAAATCAAACAAAATCATCATTGTATCACTTTGCAGTATTTATCAAAATTCAAAGGTTCTGGGAAAATTTCACATACTTTCTTATTCTCTCTTCCAAGTTTAAAGATTCCAATATATAGGTTACATTCAATTCAACTCAATTTAAAAAATACTTAATCAATCCCAAAGGAAAATTAAATGATGCCGTAACTCAACATTTAATTTTCAGTTGAGATTAATAAAGTTGCTCTTAACATATAAAGAGGATTTGGATGAAACCCCCACCTTATCTTTAAAGTATTTGGGTTGGTTTGTATGCGCTTCTGTTTTAAAAGTGGAGTTAAGTTTTGTTGGGATATTACGCTTCGTATTCAAATATCAGCCTACTCCCTGTTTTGATTTATGAGCACCCATAAGTTTGACTCAATCTTTTTCCAAGCCATATACCCTTAACATGTTACCAGTGCATCACAGCGCAACACAAAGACACACAGGACTAATTACGTGGGACACACTAATATTAAAGACAAATTAAGAGGCCAAATATCCAGTCATGATATATACGACTATGTGGTAAAGTCAAAGTACCCAGAGAGCCGACTCATGCATTGGAACCCTCAAGACCGATTTATCGATTAAAGAAAACTTGCTTTAAATGAATGAGAACTCCTCACATGTCCGGAGCAGGCCAGTCTGAGATGACAACATCTGAATTTATTGCTCCAGATAGCTCTAAAGAAAAACATTGACACCATGCTCCTCTGAAGAGGCACTGTTTATCCTTCTGGAGGTCAGTGTTCCTTGCCAGGTGGGTTAAGATGTGTGTCTGAGCTGGGGCTATGTGTGAAGGTACCTGAACCTTATTGTTTCTGTCACCCTGCTGCCTTGTAAACAATGCTGGGCAGAGACAAGGGAGTTAAAGCACTGCTTAGGTCTTGTTTAGTGAATCTGTCTGGTTGGACAGAATTGTGTCCCTACTCCTTCAAATAGTTAAGTTACACTGTGGGGCTGTTGTTATAAATTAAATTTCCTACATTTCCCTTGCTTTCCTCTGGTTTCTCATTGAAATATATATATCTGACATATTACATCCTTAATAAGCCAAAGTGGTCAGCTCCTCCAATTGATAGGCAACTGTGAGGAAAATACCTGCTCAGCTGTGGCTAAAATCTTATCTCCATTTTGAATCCCTGATCAGATTAAGAGATCTGGTTTCTATTGTAAAACACAGGATGTAAAGTTATGTTGACATGCCCAAATTCACATTTCATTGGGCAATTTGAGTGTATTTTGAATGTTCATTAGTAGTTTTGAATGCTCATGAACTCATGAACTTAAGTTGAAATTTCAGAACTTATTACTTACAATGTTAAGTTTAAGTCAATTATAAAAATAAGCCATGATGGCTAACTTAAGGATATTGCTTTTTACATTAAAAAGTCCAGACCAAGACCCAACTGGTTACCAAACTAAAATAATTCCCCCATTTTTCACCAAATGTGATTTAAACTTTACTTTAAATCAAATTTACTTCATTGTTGTTTTCTTCAATCTGGGTAAAAATGAATCCTTGATCATTTGTGACTTTCTCTTAACAGTCATTCAGTGGTTATCAGTGAATTAATTTCCAAGTTTCTTCTCTGAGCACTATGGAGAGACATTCAAATTAAACAAACCCACTGAGTTTTGAAGCTCAACAAGTTACTTTTGTTTTTTTACTTCCCACTTGTTCAACCCAAAAATTCAGCAAAAACAAATTCAGTAAAATACTTTTCTGCCAACATTGTGAATACTGTTACTGACATATGGATTGTACTATTTATAACATAAATCAGAGTTTTAAACTTGTTACTATGTCCATAAATCTGCAAATCATGTCATTTTTTTCCTGTGCTGTTGCTGTTTGTACAGCTCTCACTGTAGCACAACAACTTTTTTAGATACTAGGTTTCTAGATTTAATGATTTACTTTCTCCTGTTACTTTTTGGATTCATGTGGGCATCCACAGCTATAATGTGCTTATTACAAAAACTGAATGACACAGACAGAGTGAGGGCTGTCTCTCTGATAAACAAAATGGGCACCACCAACCATGGTAGTCAGAGATTCTGCTAGAACAATCCAAGCCTTTTGAACTATTACACCATGCCTTTCCTCTTTAATGCATAACAAGATGGGCTGCACGTGTACTTTTCCAATTATTACTTACCTGTTCTTTCCTTTTTTTGTTTCTTTTATTTCTTTTAAAGCATTCTTGTGGTTGTAGGTTGTAGGGTTGATGATTTGACCTTTGGAAACCAATGTCATACTCCTGGTTTGTGTGCAAAATATTTGCAATTTAAGTTGATTTTGTCTCCTTTACGGTATATGTACTATTTTGCATTAGTATGTAACTCAATATCATTATTATATAACTTATTTTGATCTTTTCCTGTCCTACTTTGTTTTTAAGTATAAATTTAAAAGAATTTCTGTTAAGGAAGATTCAATTCAATTTCAATTCAGTTTATTTATATAGCGCCAAATTCACAACACTTGATCTCAAGGCACTTTACAGTTCAACCAGATCATACAGTCAAATTGATACAAAGTTTTCTATCTAAGGAAAACCAGTTGATTGCATCGACTCATTGACTCAAATGCAATCCCTCACACTAAGCATGCTTGTAGTGACAGTGGAGAGGAAAAACTCCCTTTTAACAGGAAGAAACCTCCAGTAGAACCAGGCTCAGTGTGAGCAGCCATCTGTTGAGGCCGACTAGGGTTCAGGAAAAGGACATAATTTTACAATTACATTTGTTTCATTTCTAATTTCTTGATTAAGAAAAAAAACAAACAAAATGGAAAGATGTAAATATCTTCCAGAGGTCCTAAACAAGACACTACATTGCTTCCGTGTTTTAGCCTAGGGGTGACAACTGTTTAAATACGAATAGCCCCTTTTATCACAGAAAGTATAATTTTCAAGAGCAATGATAAACAAAGCAAGCCTAGGAAAATAGATCAAAGATTTTTTTTCCAGAATTTAGAAGAAATTAATATTTAAAGTTTACAAATAAAAAAAGGAAATCTATTTTGTCCAAAGAGGAAAGCTAAATAGTCCACTGTAAATTTGAAAAATGATGAACAATAGTTAGCATTTTGTGGTACTGACCGCTTTGCCAGTCATAGTCTTACAGGAAAGGATAATAATCCCATTGATTAGTGAAAGATAACGGAGAAAAAAAAATGAGGAGGAAATGTCAGGGAGAGTGAAAAGAAGGGTAGTTTCTGTGACGCATTTTCAAATGACTCGTGATTCCAGATGAGACTACTCTAGTGTTGAGATAATGCACCAAATAAATAGGCCTCTTTGTGTGTGTTTTAGACACAGTGCATTAACGTGTTGCAAGCACTTTACCGTTCCTGTCTCTATTTTGTCTGATCAATTTTAACAGTCAATGGAAAACAGAATCCTAACTGAGAGTTGTTTCAGCAGTAATACCTAAGAAAAAAAAGTCTTTTTTAACTGTACAATGAACATCTGATCTTGTTTTTCCATTGGCAGCTTCAGGCCATTTTTTCCATCCAACCTGCTTTGACTCGACCCTTTCCATTACTCAGAACTTACCAGCCAGGGCACAGAGGTTGCTGCAGGTATTTCTTAAGCTGTAACAACAGATTATCTCCTTAAAAGTCTTCCTCATCTCCTGACTCCTGAAGGCGTAGATCAGTGGGTCAATCACAGCATTGCACATAATGAGGATAAGGTACATGTTGAAGTGGGACATAAAGCACACACAGTAAAGATTGCGAGGGCAGGATTTCATCAGGATCAGGTGAAGGAAGAAGGGAGCCCAGCAAACAATAAAGATGCCAAGGAGGATGGTGAGCGTGATGGCACCCTTCATGCTGGCTCGCTGGTGGATGGAGTTGTAGCCTGGCAGTGCGGCTATCCTCTTGACATGGGAGCGGGCCAGCATGAACATGTGACTGTAGAGTGAGGCCATTATTAGCAGCATGGCAAAGAACATGGACACCAGGCAGATGATGACAGGGGTGGTCTCAGAGTAGATGATGAAGACGATTCCACAGCCGATGCAGAAGGTCCAGATTCCTCCAATGATGCAGCCTGCTCTCTTTACTGTCATGATATTGTGGTACCGCAATGCATAGAAAATGGTGACATACCTGAGGAGGAAACATAATTCTTATATTTTTAAGGTAATCTTTGAAAACTTACATACAAGCATTTGTTAATTTCCGAGGCAAGGAGCTTTAAGTGTTGGTAGAAAATGCGGCATTTTAATTGAGACCATAATGATGCTGCATTTCATTTTTAAACTTAACTATAATACAAGTGTTTTGCTGTTGAAGTACATATAGCAGAATCAAACATATATATATATATAATTAGATATTGCTGTCAAATATTCACTTGATGTGCGACTTTTATTATAATAGTACCAATTACAAATACTCTGATTAATAAAATCATCTGCACAAAAAATCTAAAGGGTGACTTAAAGAAATCCGTGGGTTTGGATGGTAAATAATTGACCATAACAGGCAGGGTTAAAGGTTGCTCCAATACAAGTGGGGAGATAGTTCTGCAACTGTAAAGAATTGTTTTATTGTTTCTTTGGGGCTTACATCTTGGTGGCTAAAGGTTTTTTACAGTTTTGCTTTAGAATTAAAAACACCTGTTTCACATTTAGTCACACTACAACCACAAACATATAGTTTAGTGGAATCATTTTTATAAATCATTGCAATTCAAAGCATCACTTCTAGAAGAAAAATATATTGTCAAATTCAGCTAGACTAGACTGAGACCAATTATTTTAAAGTCTAACTACACAATCGTGGAAAGTTTTACTGGATAAAAAATAAGAAAAATAATCGACAGGCTTTGTTCTTTCACAGGTTATCGTCTTAGATTCTGTATTCCATCCTTGCTTTCCTCTATCCAGCTTGCCTGTTGCTATCCCTGCCTAATTTCTCTTTCAGTTCAATATTTGTCATCAGTGGGCTTTAAATTCTGTCCTCGTGACCCTCTGTCCTGCATGTTTACATTATTTTGCTGCATCCACATAAAGGATAACTAAATAAATGGGTGATTGGAAGGCCCCCTGCAGAGGTGGCTGTGGAGGGAGGGATATCATTTAATGCTCTGTGTTAAAGCAGGGACACATCTAAAACATGCAGGACAGGACATATATGTCTGATGACCTTACTATTGATAAAAGGTTTTCCCAGCTGCACTGTATTAAATGTTCTTCCTTACAGTAAAATAAGATAGTTATATCTGTGTATTTATCGTTGTGCAAAACTTTTACTTTCCTTTTTGAACAGTCGATTTAACAAATAACATTTGAAAAATTCTGCTACAGAATGGATTTGTCTGTCTTTAATATGTGCAACAATGCCTTGGTCAAAAAATACTTTATCCTTTGATAAGGTCGTAAGTTGTACAAATGTTTCCCCCATCACCCAAAATGCTTGAAAGGTTTATTATTTCATTGGTGGAAAGGCAGAAAACCAGCCTTATACTTCACAAGTTTGTGTCATGTTGTCTTAGTCTGTCACATCCCATAACTGAAGTTATTTTGTTCAATGTTACAGCTAAAGGTTTATTTTAGATTGACTTCATAATGATATTAAAACAAACCTGTCTACAGCAATGGCCAGCAAGCTACACATGGAAGCGACAACAGATATGCAGATCATAGAGTCAAAAACGTTGTCCATCTGCCTGATGAAGTGCTCCTCAACCACCAGCTGCCTGTTATTAAGGAGGTAAATGATGATGGACTCCCATGCGTTTGACACACTAACCAGCATGTCTGCCACAGCCAGGCTGCAAGAGAGCATACAGGTTAATGGAGGAGCTGTCCACAAATATTAAGTTTCTGTGCAAATGTATTTCCACTAAGACCCAACAGAGGAGCTCCCTGACATCCCTTGTGTATAAGGATGCATTTAAATCCCTGACAGCAGGAAAATCAGTTCAGTGTAAGTGACAACAGAGAAAAGGACCCAAATGATTAAGAATGCAAGCTCTAACATTCTTACTAAGTGGCTATGAACAATTTTCTTGTCACTCATGTTATGGTTGAATTATGAAATATGGGTGATGAATTCATTCCACTGTCAGGTGCTCTTTCCTTGCATTAAAGTGAACACTATCAGAGGCCCTAAGTAAAAGATTCTTAACCCCACATTGCTTCCCGGACGCAGCACAATGGTAGCCCACTGCTCCCCAAGGGGATGGGTTAAATGTAGAGAACGAATTTTGTTGCACTTTACTTGTGACATTATAATGACAAAAAAAAAAAAAACGCTGAAAAAAAAAGAAGTGCCTATCACACTTCTGGAAAGAGGGATTTTGATGCAGTATAAAAACATATTAGAGAATGTGGCTGAAACAAATTGGGGTTAAGCATTAAGTTGAGTTAATTCGTAAGTTTAGATATAGTCTATTATAGAAATGAAAAATGTCTTTGTCTCAAATTTCACGACTGTTTCCATTACTACTACAACAATTACAACTTCAAAAAAGGATGCTAATATTAGGAAATAAAGTAAAATTCTACCTGCAGACAAAGAAGTACATGGGTGAGTGCAGGTTCTTGTTCTTTACTATCGCCGTAATGACCATGATGTTTTCTAGTAATGAGATGATACCCAGGATCAGAAAAACCTGAGGGGAAAAATAGAGAAAAAATATTTTAAAAGGAGTTAGTTTAAAAAACAAACAAACAACAACCTTAAGGTAGGCATCATAATGAGGATAACTCAAAAAATTTCCCAGAGAATTTAATTTAGCCACATTCCTCCACTGACCTCCACTGCTATGTGGAGCTGCTCACAGGCTGCAGGTTTTGGGGTGGTTTTCATGTCCTGTAGAAACGGAGGAGTCACGGTGTTGTTATGGTGATAGTAGGAGAGGGTCCAGGTGGAGTTATCTGGAACCATCTCCCCCTGGTATGTTGATGTGTCCATTCTTATTCCTCCTTGCTGACGTTTTACTTCAGATAATCTTCAGCTTATCAGTAAGCCATTTTCAAACCTGACAGAAATAAGAAATATCAATATCAATTCATGCTATAATAAATATCTTAAAATTCATTTTAATTTTATTAAAGTTGTGTCTTGACATAACCCCTTAAACCAACTGGTATTATAGATTTGTGAAAGATGTAGCATCAAAGTCAAGTTGAGTTTTATTTTAGACCAAACAATCAGTTTTGTTAGTTTTATTAGATTAAGCTGATTTACTGTTGTTGTTCTGAATTGTTCTCTGACATCCAAAAACAATAGTAGGGTTAAGATTTTGATAGTCTTAGAATTATAATCTTTTGTTTCTCCACAGGATTAACAGTTCATTCACAGGTCTCTGTCATTGTCCATTTATATAACAAAATTTTATTTTCATGTGATGCGACATACGGTATTTTATTTCTTAATGGCTGGATGAAAAAGGATTGCCTATTTCTATTTCTTTCCAAAATTTAGAACTTTGAATCCTTAACAGTGGTAGCATATTTTTTTCTGTCTTCACATATGAGGGTAAACAAACAACTAAATTACACCTGTCACTGTACTTCCTGTAGAAATGTAAGAAGTACAATGTTCTCACTGGCTATTTGTAAGATTCTATATCTCTGTTTCTCTCTCCAGTGGTTGGGTGTCCATAACTGTGTTGCTCAACTCAACAAAACGGGACCCTAGACAAAAAGGTACTGAACTTCCCTATATTTAGATTTGTATATGTCTAGGGTGAGGGAAAGGGCTGGTAATCAGCATAATAAATTCTGGTTAATTACTTTTGTTTTCATGTAAACACCACAGTGCACTATTAGCAATAATTTCTTTGTTAGGCTGCTTCCTAGACAAAAACAACAAACACACAACAGCCACATGTAGTGATCTCAGAATGTTGGACCCAGAATTCGAGGCGAGACAGGCAGTAGGAAAGTTCAAAGCGTTTATTAAAACTAACAGGAGCGCAGGGCTGCTCATCAGCTGTGGGGCGGATCTCTGCGGAGATAGGAGAATACAGGTCAGTGACTGGATGAGGAGCTGAATACGACTTGGGGCAAAGTCACTGACCTGATTCAAAGTTCAGTCCGTTCACGGAGAACACAGCTGAATCCAGACAGGAGGTTAGACTGCAGTAGCAACGGGTGTCGCCCCCAGAGTTCCTAGAGAGTGTGCGGCGCGGGCGACCACTGACGCCGAGCAGCAACCGAGTCCAAAGGGGAAATCCAAAGCCAGAGTCAGAAGACAGGTCCACGTTCAGAAGCCGGTAGAATCCAGGAAACAGATCAGACAAACAGAGCAGACAGGGGCAAGGCAAAACTCGGGATCCACAGGGCAGAAACAGGTCACAATCAGGAAAACAGAAAAGACTTCAGAAAGCTAGAGTTAGTCTCACCAAAATACTCGAATAACCTGGCGCTGATGGAAGGCAAACACACAACCTAAATAGTAGACGAACCAGGTGGAAATGATCGAAGTTAATCAGCCGCAGAACCAGTTAGACAGGGGAGCAAGGAGCAAAGGTAAAACACCAAACCATCAGCGCCAAGATCATAACACCAGAGTATTGAAACAAATAAGCATGCTTTACTATTACAACCTCTCTTTTCAATTCTTTGTACAAACACATAAACTGGGGTCTATACACTAACAGATTACAATTCAGTTTATTAATTCAGTCATCTAAAAGCACTTTACTAGGACTAATCAGTCAAATCAGGGAGAGTGAAAGGAAAAGCTCCCTTTTAACAAGAAGACAATGAAAAAATCATAGCCAGGCTCTCTGTAATCTGCCATCTGACAAAGTGTAAACATAAAAGGTACACAAAAGTACTATTTCAGGAATATTTTCTATGCAAAATAAAAGTAGTGATTCTGTCAAGGCCAGTCATATTAATCCACAGCAAACATTTTTATTTATGTCTTTATGGACCTTGCTTTATGAAGTGTTGCAGAGTCAGGTTGGAAGAGGAAGCCTAGGATCCATCAGGACCAGAGCATACCACTACAAAATAGCTAATTCCATCTGCTGCCAGCTTCATAATTACAGGCCCGGTTAACCCACTCACATTTTTTTGATTGTTATAAAAAAATAAAATAAATACGTAAAAACCCTACGAACATCTCAACATGTGTGTATATAACATTAAACTTCATTTTATAGCACTGAGGAAACTTGATTTGACAACAGCTTTCATCTGGATGTCAAAGTTTCAATGACTGTCCATTGAAAGTTACATTTTTGGCCATTAGTTTCAAAAAGGGACGTAGATAGCCCAGGTGTTAAAGTAGGCTCTCTAATTTCCTCGAAAAACCATCACTTCTGTCTTTTTCACATTAAAATGTAAAAAGTTTAAAGCCATACATGCTTTCACATCATCCAAACATTTCAAAAGAGATTCAAAAGACTTTTTATTTCACGTCATTTGAATGTAGATTTGACTATTGTTTCCATAAAAGTTAAAAGAGACCCCATCCTTCTTAATAATGGATACAAGTTGGAGCAGATAAAGAGTCTAAAACAAGGGGTCTCAAGGCAGAGCCCTGAGGAACTCCATATAAAAGAGGTGCACTGGAGGACACAACATATCCCAGACTGACACCAAATGTTAGATTACTTAGAAAGGACTTAAACGACTACATTGTCTTTCCTCTGATCCCCACCCAATGCTTTAAATGAGATGAAAGGATATCATGATCCACTCTATCAAAGGCAGCAGTTAATTGTAAGAGCAAAATAACACATTTTGAAGAGTCAGCATCTAAGAAATATCATTAGAAAATTTTAAAAGGCCAGACTCGTGCTATGCAAAGATTTAAACCCAGACCAGAACATTTCAAAAACATTACTTACTAAAAGAAAGTCTCTTAACTGTATGTAGAAAGACTAGTTTTGAAATAGGTTTATGATCACTAAAGATTGTTTCACCCAGGCCCGTTTTTTTAAGAAGAGGCTAAACTACAGCTTCTTTACAAAATATTGCGACAATTCCTGAAGAAAGACTGCTATTGGCAATCTGCAGGACAGAAGAGTTTGCATCATCTAGCATCATTTAGTCTAGCAGTAATACACTAATGAGTAGAACCCGAGGGCTTTAAATGACCGACAGTCTCCTGCAAAAAGGACATAGATAAAGGTTCAAAGCTATAAAATACAGCAGGGCATGAACGTAAGCAGGGGGATGTGATCAGAGTTCCAGTTGAAATGATCTTATCCACAAAGAAATGTATAAAGGCCTGACAAATAGCAGGTGTAGACTCAACACAAATCTGTGGTCTAAACATAAAATCAATAGTTGACAATCTTCTTCCTCTGCCTTGTTTGGATGCTTTGCAGTCACCAAAGCCTGTTCTTTGAAATTACCTGGTTAGCTGTCTGGACTTAATGTTACTTCACATTCCACCTGGCAGAGCTAAGTCGTAACAGCCATAATAAACTGAAGTTTGCTATGGATTGTTCTGGGGCTAATCTTAAGGTCAAGTGAAGTTTGAAGCCCAGTTATTTTTGACGACAGAAAGTTGGCAATCTCTGTTTCCTATGCTCATTAGTGTCCTTTCCTTGCTTTTTTAATTTAGGTGAGGTACCGCAGCAAAGCTGCATTACTATCTGTTAGAAAAATGTATATGTTATCATTTTACTTAAAGTTACAGGTATCTGGCCCAGGAATGTTAAGTCTTGCCCTAAATGAGGAGAGCAAATATTTCTCTCAGGGCCTGGTATTATCCAACTATACAGCCGTACTGTAGGTGACTAACTTCTGACCCCTCCTGATAACTTCTGAGCCCTCCTGATAACATCAGACCTCTCCTGGTAACATTTAACCACTCCTGTAATTCCTTTGAAGTCCACTAATAAAAGCAGAAGAAACGAGAGGTTTGGGCAGAGTTGAGTACAGACTTTTCAAGGGGTCTCATCCTTGGTCTGTCCTCTCTCTCTCTTTTTCTGCAGAAAAGAAAAGAATACTTGCTTTGTTTGGTTTTCATTTCTATGACAATAAGTGGTTATGATTATTAACCCTATCAGCCTGGTGCCGTGACCCGGATCCCAACATTTCCACTTGCTGATGAGAGGAGCAACGCGCTAAAAACCACCGTTGGTCAGAGACAAAGACCTGATGGGAAGGTCCCCGGGGGTAATTTCCTAGCTGCGGTATAAAGTCCGGTATAAAGGTAGACAGGTGGTATAGAGTCCCCTGCAAAGGTAGATGGGTGGTATAAAGTTTGCAGATGCTAAAGTTAAAAAAGGTGAAAAAGTTAAAGAAACAGGTTAAAGTCCTGTAAAGTAAATGAAATAGATGGTGTGTGAAAGGCAGGTCGATGTAGAAAGGTGTGCCTGCTAGAAACAAGCACTAGTGCAAAAAATAGATAAATAAATAAATAATTGAGCTCCAAAGTAGCTAGACTGTGGTGATCTGACTTAATCAGATCAGTCTAAAGGATTTTATCCTTTGGTGCAACAATTACAGTTTCCAGTCCGTGGTCGTTAGAGGAAGATAGAAAGGCTGTTGAAGGTGTAACTTCTTCGCACGAAGAACCAGAATATGGATCCAAAACATTGGGGAAAATAAAGGCGTTCAAAATACGTTTTGAAAAAGAATATGGAGATGAAACACCATACCAACAGCAACTAAAAAGAATGTTAATGGGTGTTCTCCAGCCACATTTCTCAGTCTGGCTTAAAATACATTTAATCACTATAGCAATGTCTAATGTAACCAAAGCAATGGAATATGCGCGCCATGCTGGAAAATACACTAAAAAGGGGAGATGGTGAGTCTTGAAGGTGGGGTGGGATGGTGGTGGGGGTGGGGGGGGATTTGAGCTCAAATATTCTTGGCCGATTCTATATGTGAGCTAGAAGAAACATTTTCTTACCAAGGCACGGGACCCCCTTGAAGGCATCGAGGAGGTTTCTGAGGAGGCAGGGGTGGTCCTAGGGGCCGAAGGGGCTTTCAGCTGAGACCACTAAAAGCAAACCAGGAATGCTGGAATTTTGGGTCATCCGACCATTGGTTTAGGGAGTGTCCC